ATTGAGATCTTTCCTACAGGAATTTTAAAAAAATCAATTAACCAATTCATACCGCCCTCTTTATTTTAACTAACTTTTCCTGGTAACCAATTTTTTCACTAAAATGCTTCCATTCACAGCTTGCATTATGACTTGGGAACATTAGATGTCACTTTACTTGTGGTACTGCAGGCAAAAATTAAGACAGATGTACTATTTACCACAAATCACTAACGTCTACTGTTAAAGGATTTAATTTCTATGACATCAGTGGATGGTCAAAAGTAAAGTTTAGTGCATTACTAATAGCAGATTAAAATAGAATACAAATGACCTGTGGCTGGGGTAGTACATGTCAGTGCTAATTAATGACCAGATCATCTCTTTCCCCGCCTCTCACACAAATGTAATGGATGCACGGAGGGTAATCTTGCCCCACGCCATTACATCTGTATGTATGTCTGACTCCAATTATCTCGTACAATAATGCCTCAGTCAGCTTGCCCAAGACAATTATCAGCAAAGTCTGTGGAAGTCTGCAGAGAATGTTCAGTAAAATCTGCAGATATTTAGCAAATAGGGTTGTTTTGAAAAGTTGTATTTATTACTTCAGGAATAGCCAGATTTGCACCCATTTAGTGAGGCAATGAAAACTGCTGGTCTGATTTTGATGCATATTTTTACAGCTCAGAACTTGCAGGTTTCAACTTTTGCAGAAAACCTACAAATCTGCAGAATTCTGCGGAATCTCAGAATTTAAATGGCATTCTCTATTTAGAGAAACGTTGGACAAGTTTCCTTCTTCCACACACCTCTGTTTACCTAGCAGTAAGTAGAAACCCAGTTGTTAGTCAATTAACGGAATGCTTTTTCAGGAGTAATAATTCCTTCCAAAAAATAATAAATTGGTCACTCAATCCATGACGGTTTGTGGGACACTACAGTGCACAATTAGCTGCCGCGTTTCACCCACAAAAAATATATAATAATAATAATAATAATCCTTGCATTTGATATAGCGCTTTTCACGTCGGAAGGACGTCCCAAAGCGCTTCACAGAACACACTGTAAAGTGAATTGACTGTATATTAGTGGGCAAACGCGGCAGCCAATTGCGCACAGCAATGTCCCACAAACAGTCGTAGATTGAAAATGACCAATTTATTATTATTTTTGGTTTTGGAGGGATTATTATTAGGCTCTGTGTGGAGTAAGGAAACTTGCCCAAGGTTTCGCCCTCTGCCTGGAATTGAACTCAGGTCTCTCACTTGCAAAGCGAGTGCTCTAACCACTGAGCTACAGGACTCCACAATATAGTCAATTCACTTTACAATTAATTCTGTGAAGCGCTTTGAGACATCTCGAAGACGTGATAATGGGGTATGTCAAATGCAAGGATTATTATTATTTCTGTGTTTCTGTTTGCTCACAATGTTTTAAAAGTTTAAAGCTTTGAAATAACACATGGGAATGTAGGACTGAGACATTGCAGCCCAACATGTGACACCAATGATTATTGAAACACAGGTTCGATTCCACTACAGCAGTGGTGGCCAAGAAGCCACCTAAAGTGGGAGGGGAAAACAATAGGTGACAATGGAAGTTTGGGTAAAGATCTCATTTGAGCTCGCTTTCATCTCATCCTTTCCATTAAAGGATCAATTTACCACCATAACAATCACATTGTCATATAATACAAATATACATTGTGCTTATATTATTCTATAATACCACCACAAATAATATTTGCTTCTAAAGTTTGTAATTCTATATACTATAGTACTGTATGGGAAGTATTGAAGGACATATTAATAGGAAAAGATAGCCCAACTTGTCTACTTGGATATAGTAAATGCATACACTGGAAAGCAAAGAGGGCACCACAAGGAGAGAAGAATGAAGGATGGCTCTAGCCATAGGAATACACATACTTTCCAAAAGAAACCCTCTCTTTTAACAATCAGCTCATTGTTTAGGTGCAGATTCCAATCAGACAGAAACTGGGACAGGGCGCACCAGAATTATAAACCCTTTCCACTTTGTCACTTTACCGATATGGTTTCCAAGGTGCCCAGAAATCACAAGGAGCTCAACACAGCACAGCCTCATGTCACAACCAATAACAAATAGATAAGATTCTTTCAAAATAACAAGCGCTAATAAAACTGTACAGTCACAATGGTTATATTTATCAGAGTGAAATAAAAATAATTGCTGAATGGCATTCAGCTGTCACAAGCAAGAAGGTTAATGTGAAGGTCAGAACTTGGCAAGTTGAGGATTGAAAAACCTCATTAACATACAGCCATGGATGTGTTATGTCTTTCCAGTGTTTTTTTTACTCCTGTCCAGTTCGGTATTTGTCCTTAGAATTGCATAAATTGTGGTTTATGGTTACATACATGAATTAGATTGGCAAAATATTTTTGCCTCCCTTGCCCCATTATAATACAGGTCACAGGTCAATCAGATGAGCCTACAGGCTGGGCTGGGGCTATATCAATAGGAATTAAAGGAACCTTCTTCAATCTCAGTGATTTCAGTTCTGGGTTTCTTCCCTCCTCTGGCAGTATTTTACTGTGGACAAGGAAAACCTAAATTCGCATTTTATTGCAAATGAAATCTATCCTCCTCCAGGATAAAGGCTGCAGCTCTCTCCCTATCTGAGTTAAAGATCAAACTATGCAATGCACAATGTCTGTGATTCTGTGAAAAACAATTAGGTTAGTTTTGAACCACGGTACATCTTTAACAGGAAATTACACAGCACTGTTCACTATTGTGAGTTAAAAGATCTGCACACACTTATTTAAGCACTAAACAGAGAGTCCACTCCAATCCTTTAATCATAGTGATCTGAGCTACCTTATTTCTCCCCTCCCCCAATGTTAATTCCAAATGGGAAGCACAGTGATGCATCGCTTCTCTCTTGCCAAGAATAGCAGCATGTTTAACTACAGCAGAGATAGCAGTAGACAGACTGTGTCCACTCTGATTTTACACTAAATGGGATTTGGACGCACCCAGTCCTGGAATCTATTCAAAAAGATATATTATTTGAAAAATGATGGCAAACTTGATCCACCACCAAATCAGCTTCCTCAAATAAAATTGTAATACTTGCATTTGATCTAGCAGCTTATTACATTGAAATACAGTAGCTGTTTGTTACTGTAGGCAACTACTTTATTGTGCATCAACTTCCCTGCAAACAACAATTAAGGTGACCTGTGAAGCACTTTGAGACATAGTGACAGAGGCGATACCAAATGTAAGGATTTTTTTCCCCTAATTCCCTTGAGGGTTTTTTTTTGCCGAATTTTGGATCAATAGAAATATTAGCCAGAACATTGGGAGAATAGCCGGCCCTCCTTCAAAAACCTTTAACGCTTATTCCAACAGGCAAAGAGGACCTCGGCTTGAAGTCTTATTAGATAGAATGATATGGGATGGAACTGGCCAATTGGCCCCACTCATCTATGTCGACGTTTATACGTTATCTGAAATTCAGCAACTTCAGCAATGCAGGACTCCCTCAATTGGAGTGGAGTCCTGTAGCTCAGTGGTTAGAGCACTCGCTTTGCAAGCAAGAGACCTGAGTTCAATTCCAGGCAGAGGGCGAAACCTTGGGCAAGTTTCCTTACTCCACACAGAGCCTAATAATAATCCCTCCAAAACCNAAAAACAATAATAAATTGGTCATTTTCAATCTACGACTGTGTGTGGGACATTGCTGTGCGCAATTGGCTGCCGTGTTCACCCACAAATATACAGTCAATTCACTTTACAGTGTGTTCTGTGAAGCGCTTTGGGACGACCTCCAGACGTGAAAAGCGCTATATCAAATGCAAGGATTGTTATTATTATAATTGTCAGCATAGATCATAAGAAGACCAGGAATGAAGTCCCTGGTGTGTCACTCATAAAGTTACCATCACCCAACCCAGTGGGAAAAGATTGCAAACCGAATTAAACTACCTGAAGCTAAACCTCCCATTTTAGCTCATGGAGAAGTCTTAAGAGATCGAAGCTGAGGCTTGGATGACACCAATGCAAATGATTCAGGAACATAAAGGCAATCACAAGATAAAAATCAGAAAAGCAATATCTTTATACCTTCACGAGGTTGTGGCCAAAGTAAACATCTCACACTGGTCCCTCACCTCATGTAGTGCGGGATCCCCCGGGTCTGTCTGTCTATGTACCTGGAGCATCGTACATACAATCTCTGCAATTGCCAAACAAAGTGGAATACATTGTGCGGTTACAAATTGGAGGCAGATGCAGTTTCCCAACGGCATTGACGGGGGAAAAGCTTTTGTTCAAAAATGTAAAACAGCTGCAAAAATGCTAAAGTGCAAAAAGTACGAAAGCCTTTTATTCAGCACCGAGACAATCAAATGTGTGTGTGTGTGAGTGAGTGAGTGAGTGGGTGTGAGTGTGAGTTTTTGTTGTTTGCCCGAAATTGTAAGCAATCGCTTGTGCAAACACAGGTCGATGTCCCCTCTGGTGCAGAGGCTGAGAGAACGATGGTTCCCACATGCAGCAAAGTTGAATAGAAGCATCTGCTGTGCTGTGGTGTAAACATGTTCCTGGACTACTTGTTCTTTTTTCTTTTTTTTTTGAAAAAAAAAGAACACCCCAGGAAATCTGTGCCAGGGTCCACAGGCAACAGACCAAATGCATCGTAAATGAAACCATCTGATGGTGGGGGGTTGGAGGGGGGGCTTTGCAAGTGGCCAATCGTAGTTAGCAAACGTAGTGCCAGAGTGGACGAGCATTGAATTACAAAGAGGAATGACCTCACGTTACACAGTGCAGCTTCAGTGCTTCTCTGGGATTTGGCAGTGAAATCGTTCCGAGAGTTGCTGTTGTGTGTTTTTTTTTAAAATTTTGTCCATAGTCTTGTTTTTGCATCTTTCTTTGAGCTGCAACTTTTTTTTTTTCCGACCCCCCCCCCCCATCCCCCACCACCCACCCCCCCCCCCCCCAAAAAAAAAAAAAAATGTCAAGAAACGTGGAAGGGTTCTGCAAGATGTTCCAGAGGATCAGGAACCCCGGGTGTCCTCTCAATGGGGCTCTCTGATCGGCGAGGAGTGGGGGAAACACAGCAGAAGGGGAAAGAAGGGAACAAAAGAGACCTCGACTGTCTGAAACCCATCTGCACTCCTCTGCAATCACCAGACCTGCACTGAGCAGCAAAACTCCAGCAAACCATGTCAGGGTAGTTTTATCGGAAGGGGAAGGGGAGGGGGTGGAAAAAAAAAATCAGTGCTGGGATCTTTTTGGTAAGTGATTCTGTTATTCATTTTAAGAAAAAAAAAGGATTGTGAAAGCTCGAAAGGGAAAGACCATCAGTGTCTCACCAACATTTCCCCAGTAATGACTGATCTCAGCTGATCTGTGTTTGTAGTGGGTGATGGTTCCTTTCATCTACCTGCAGCTTCTCTCTTGGTTACTGGTTTTACTCTGAAACTTTCAGGTGATGTGGCCACAGCGTCTCGGGTTGTTACTGCAACCTTTGGAGATGGGGATGAAATTGGCGTAAAAATTAATAATAATGATAATAATAATCCTTGCATTTGATGTCGCGCTTTTCACGTCGGGAGGACGTCCCAAAGAGCGCTTCACAGAACACACTGTAAAGCGAATTGACCGTATATTTGTGGGCGAACGCGGCAGCCAATCGCGCACGGCAATGTCCCACAAACAGTCGTCGATTGAAAATGACCAATTTATTATTGTTTTGGGTTTTGGAGGGATTATTATTAGGTGTGTGGAGTAAGGAAATTTGCCCAAGGTTTCGCCCTGCCTGGAATTGAACTCAGGTCTCTCGCTTGCAAAGCGAGTGCTCTAACCACTGAGCTACAGGACTCCAATTGCACCTCAAACTCCAGCTTCCCGTTTGTAGAGTAACTCATGGGGATGAACCCTTAGATAACAGGAGGCTCATTCTGCTTAAGATGGGTAGCTTTCAGTTTAAGGGATTTATTTGACCGAGAATCACGGTTTCGGTAGATTGCTGCGTTGCAATCACATTTATCCAGAATTTGCCCTCGTAGGCTGTCAAGCAACAACAACAAAATTACTTTTGTATCAGCGTATATGGCTAATATGTATCTTTGTGGTACTTGATGCAGAAATCACGCCAAGGTACCAAATCACTGTAGATTACAATAGCAAGGGGCGAGGAATGTTATTAGAGGTAAATACATATTTCAACTGATACATCTGGTGTTTTTTTGTTTTAATAATTAAGGGCTGCAAAAAAAAAACTCCCACTTTTCCCATGACTCAAAATCGGTTCAAGTTTCGTTGGCTTCAACTTTTAAGATGAACTGTAATTGCCGACTGCTCATAGGGAAACCAGTCTTGAAAGAACCACACAGGCCTCAGGGGAATGGCAAAGCACTGTAGATTTAAGAGGTCCTCCCTGAGCTAAACAGATCAGTGGTTACTGAGCCCCACATGAGCTGCATAATACTTTAATACAATTAATATTGTGATGTTCAGTTTCTAAGCCTGCCTCCGTTGAGATGTGTTGTGTTGCCTGCTTCATGTCCCCTTTCCCCATCAGCCCCCCAGCACTGGTGGCTGAGCTTTCAGCCATTCTACCCTGCCATTGTGGAGTCCTGTAGCTCAGTGGTTAGAGCACTCGCCTCGCAAGCCAGAGGCCTGGGATCGATTCCCAGCAGGGCAAAACCTTGGGCAAGTTTCCTTGCTCCACACACTTGATCATAATCCCTTAAGAAAAAAAACCAATAATAAATCCATAGATGTTTGTGGGACACTGCTGTGTGCAATTGGCTGCCACGTTTCGCCCACAAATATACAGTCAATTCATTTTACAATATATTCTGTGAAGCGCTTTGAGACGTCTAGAAGGTGCGAAAAGCGTTATGTCGAATGCAAGGATTACGATACCGATTTTAGCTGATCTCAGATTATTATTATTATTCTGTTTTAGCTCTCTGGAATGCCATCTGGGAGCCCCCTCCCACCAGCCTCCTCCCTCCCCACTTCTAAAGTTTTCCTTGACCTTTTTGAGTACTTTTTGTCAGCCCCCACCCACCCCATCCCAATCTTCCTCAGCTCATTCCCTCCCCCAGCTTGGGCTCACAGTGAATTGCTTTGAAACATCCTCAGGCTGTTAAAGGCACCATTTAATGTAAAATTGTTGTTGGTTAAGATTGAATATGAGAAGCTGATAAATGTTGGAAAGATATGCACTGTATCCAAAAAAGTGATACTGTACCATTGTGCAGGGGTGAAAAATGCAGCATTTTAAAACAGAATTATGTGATAAAATGCCACATTTTCAATGCACTATTTCACACAATGCCATATATTAAAAGTAACACATTAATTACTGGGATTGATCAGTGATTTCACTATGTGAAATTAATACATTTCACTTGTAAATTACCCTTAAATGGTCTACAGTAGGAAGAATAGAAAACCATCTGATGTTATTAGAAGCTGAACTATTGCAGAATATACCAACCGTTCCATCAGTAAGCTGAGCGAGTTCCAGGCATTCCTTCTCTTGTATGAAATGTACTTACTTCTCTCTCACCATCAGTCATTGATCAGGATACCTGCCACAATATTTATCTATTTTGACACAAATGCATATTTGTGTGCAATTTTGAAACTTGAGGCTGAGTTTTAGAAAGATCCTAATCATGCTCTTGGGTATGGCACAGAGTGCTTCTAAAGTCAATCAGATAAGCACAGACAGCTATCTTTGTAGAGTACATCAAGGAGGATTAAGTGCAAGGAGAACTTTGCAGAACCATTTATGCATATTTTCTAGACAGAGTGTAGTCCCTATGGATTGCTTTGTGTATTGCTGCAGATAAAATAATAATTATAGTCCTTGCATTTGATGTTGTGCCTTTCACATCAGGAGGAGTAAAATACAGTAATTTTGTTTCACAGTGAATCTTGCAATGTGCTTTGAGACGCCTCCTGATGTTTTCTACTGTAAGGCGTAATGACTATTTTACTGTAATGACTGTAGGTGAATGCAGCAGCCAATTTACACATTGCAATATCTCACAAGCAGCCATAAAGTGAATAATCAACTTTATTTGGGGGATTGTGGGCAAGGACACAGGAAGAAACTGTTTTCATATAGTGCCATAAAATCTTTAAAGTCCATTGAATAGGCAGACTCAGTTTAACTTCTCATCAGAAACACAGCACTTCCAACAATGCAGTGCTCCCCCAGCATTTTATTTTATTAGCCTGTGCTGTGAGTTATACAGTACAGATTTACTTCAAATATTAAATACACCAACAACATCCAGAAGCAGATGGGTATGTCCATTCTGAGTACCATGTACTGTAGTAATGGATCTGGTTCTAGGGTGGTTTCTAAATGTTGGATGCCATCAATGGTGGTTGAATTAAGTGTGCCGGACTATCCCAACGTCACATTATGAAAATGAATGCCATCCCCTTCAAGCTGAATCACCGAATCATCCATTGAATCTTGCTACTATTCACTTCTAACCCTTTTTTTTCTCTCTGAACACAATTCCATTTAGCTGAGTGTTGGTGAGGAGGAGATGGGGGTTTGGGGATTGTATTGTGTGCTTCACCAGACAGTCTGTCAGAGAACAGAATAAATGTTTTAAAGAGTGTCTGGGAGTCATAAATGTCCAGCAAAGTTGAGACTTGCCATAACAACACTAAGGCACAACTAAAATTATAGCTGTGGTTGTTGGAGTATCCTAGAATTTCAAATGATCCTTGATTCTGTATCTTGATATATTATCTAAATACATTAGGGCTTGGAAACTGCATTACTTTTCAAACTGCCTTTGATATTTGGATCAATTTCATTCACAAGGGACTCTCAAAAGTCCTAAGAGACAAAGAGGTAATGAAATTAATATGGGAGAAGCCAAAAAGAATATATAAAATCAATTGGACCTTTTCTTTATCTTTCAGTGTTGATTACACAGTGGATAGGACTCAAAAGACCAATAGAGTACTGTACCAGAATCAATATGTAATGCTCCCTAATGCTTTCAGACAAAGAGAAGGATCAGTACTCATCATGGTGGCTGAAGGTTACAATGTAATTCAGTGACTTACTTCAAAGAAATCAAAGTATGAATCTAGGGATTCAAGCAGGAGCACAATTAGCTTCCACTTCCTTGATGTTCACTCAGGAGCCGTCGGAATGAGCACCATCCTCATTAACCATGAAAGTTCTACGCAAGGTATTCTGCAGCTTGTATTTCCATTTATGAACACACAAATAAAATTGTGCTCTGCTTTTTCTTCTAAAAGATATGAATGAGCATATAATAATACAATAATAATCCTTGCATTTGATATCGCGCTTTTCATATCTTCGAGACGCCTCAAAGTGCTTCACAAAATATATACTGTAAAGTGAATTGACTGTATATTTGTGGGCGAAACGTGGCAGCCAATTGCGCACAGCAGTGTCCCACAAACAGTCGTGGATTGAGTAACCAAATTATTATTGGCTTTTTTTTGAGGGATTATTATCCCCGGAAAAGCGATCTGCCAATTGACTAACAACTGGGTTCCTACTTACTGCTAGGCAAACAGAGGCACGTAGAGTAAGGAAACTTGCCCAACATTTCGCACTGCTGGTAATCAAACCCTGGTTTCTTGCTAATATATAAATAGTTTAAAATTAGGAACAAGGATTTATTAAATATTTCATACCAGCAGTGTTTCACATATCTCTGTAGGGTCAAATAGATAGGGTCAACCCCCGCCCCCCTGCTATTCCCCCAACCCCATACACGCATAATATTGAGACCCAGAAGGATTATATTTTTAAAAATCCCTGAATGAATTTCTTCTAATTTCAGGGTACTTTATCCCTTTGATAATAAATGGCCACACACATTGAAGTGACAGATGCAATGCATTTCTACACATGTGGACCACTATGTTTCACACTCTGCCTGGGTTAATGATGGGTGATGAATGAGTGTTTGCTCTCTGTAAGTAGTCGTGGGACAGAAATCAATTTATTTTACTTTGCTTAAAAAGATTATATAATTTAGCTTGTGGCTGGCAATCTAATGAGGAATATTGAATTCCCTTTAGACTAGTAAGGACTCAAGTACAGGCATCTCACAATCCTCAGTTAGGCTGTACTATCCTTGGGACACAAATCTTAATGGTAGCATTAACTCAGTCCCATAATGTGTCAGATGGAATACTCAAAGTGTGATACATTGAAATCAGATTTAAACAAGAATAGAATAATAGTCAGGGTATCAATGGTATTAAA